GGGGACTGTACAAAATCGGGAGAGCAGGGCACTGATCAGTAAAGAAGATGGAACTATCATTGTTGGGGTCGGTTTCACCCCACACAGATAAACCATCCCAAAATAACTAAGTATAGAAAATGGGAGAGCCGTGATCATCAAAACGGGAGAGCCGTTCTCACCAAGGCAAGAAGTAAAGCCGTTTTTACCAAGAAAGGCAGGAGAGCCGCGATCGCCAGGTGGGAGAGCCGAGAAGAAGGAGATGGGCCGAGCCGTATAACATAACATAGGCCGAGCCCCTGTCTTAAATACCTGGGCCGAGCCGTGCCGCGGAGAGGTGGAGCGAATTATGTCAAGTGGGCCGAGCCGTAAAGAAAGCATGATGGGCCGAGCCGAAGCCCACGAAAAACCCTAGGCGAGATGCAAAGTCGGTCAGCCGCACGAGGCGATAAGGAAATATTCCGAAAATCTCGCTCGAGATTCTCGGCTAGGCGGTTTAGAAAATCAGTATAAATATGTGGTGTATGTAATTCATTCCGCCAACTTTGGCAACCCTAAGCAATAAGAACGAAACACTTTCACAGCAAGAAAAGCTCTCTTTTGATCTTACTGTCTTTGGCGATAAACCCTAGAAGTTTCCGATCCCTTAGTTTCTTTACAAATCTTTGGTTGTGCGAGTTTTGGCTCACACAATTTGGCGCCGTCTGAGGGGACACGAAACTTTCTTACTCTATATCGACAAAGCTTTAAGATTCGAAGAAAATGGCGAGCAACGCTAACGACGACAACAACAACACCGGTAACGGCGCGGATAGGGACGCTCCAGGATCAGGCACAATGACCGCGCCGACAACAACGGCGACGACCAAAACCCATGAGGAGATGCGATACATGATAGCTGCGTTGATGAAAAAGATCGACGACCAAGACAAAAGAAACGAGGCGATTACGGCGAGGCTCGACGCAATGGCAGCAGAGCGACAGCATCCGACTTGGAGAGCCGGAGTCAACGACCCGATGGACGGAATTCGGAGACGCTTCGACTTCTCGACGCCCGCCGAAGCCTCGGGGAGTGGTGCAAGAAACTCCTCTTTTCTTCGTCCCCTCGACGAACGCACTCCTGCAGCAACCCGAGTCAACATGACCGAGCCGCCTCCACTACGCCGCAACTCCAGGCAAGAAGCCGGTGAGGAAGGAGACGACGCGATCGATGTAGACGCCCAGCAAAACGACGAGACCATAAATCCGCAACAAATTGGCTCGGCTCGTCGAATCAATAAAGAAGAACTCGCCTCGGCACTGAACGGCATCCGGACTGACGAAGTCTTCGATCCAGCCCGAGGCGATAACCCAACCGAAGCGGACGAAAATCCCCAATGGAACGAGCAGGAAGAGCGCGAAGCCGAGCCGAGGCGAGAGGAGCGGGAGCGACTCCCCCAATCAAAGGGAATGACTCACGCACAAACCCTCGAGCTTAAAGAGCTGCGAGCCTCTATGGCTCGAACGGTAGCTGAAATACGCGCTATGAAATCCCAAGTGCACAACCCCGACAAGTGCTGCACCCGAAATCGACCGAATGCTCGAAGAAACCCAAAGAACCCCGTTCACTGCAAGGATCACGGAAGCCAGGATTCTCGAGCCACGGAAGGTGAGAATTTCGTTCTACGAAGGAACAACCGACCCAAAAGCACACATCACGGCGTTTCGAATAGCGATGGGGCGAGCCTTCACAAAGAACGCCGCTAAACTCACCGAGCGCGAAGTGGATGCCGGATACTGTCTGCTCTTCGTGGAGCATCTCAAGGGAGCCGCACTCGAGTGGTTCTCAAGGCAGGAACGAAATTCAATCGGCAGTTTTCAGCAGCTCTCCGCCCTGTTCCTTAAACAATACTCGATGTTTATGGACAGAGGAACATCTGATGCCGATCTATGGACACTATCTCAAGGACCGAACGAACCGCTTCGGGATTACATGACGCGATTCAAGGCGGTCGTATCCAAAATAGAAGGGATAAGCGACAAGGCTGCACTCGAGGCTCTGAAACGATCCTTGTGGTACAAATCCGAATTCCGCCGCGAGATGGCTCTCAATACGCCGCAAACAATTCAAGACGCGTTGCACCGATCATCAGACTTCGTCGTAAACGAGGAGGAAATGAAAAACTTGGACGAGCAGTACGAAGCCACGAAAGCAGCAATCCGAAGCTCAATTGTGCCACGCCCAGCGAAGAAGGGCAATCCATCAAGCAACGCGGCAACGCAGAGTTCGGAAGAGCCTAGGAGCGGAGGTGCCCATAACTACCAGGTCAGCTCCGGACGCGGAAGAGGAGAGCCGCGCAACAATACTTGGGTAAGAAAGTCAGCCAACTATGACGAAAAGGCTTTCTGCGAGTATCACCAGACCTACGGACACTCAACGGCTCAATGCCGGACTCTGGGAGCAAAGCTCGCAGCAAAAATGGCAGCAGGAGAGCTCCAAAACGCGGTCAGCCTCAAGGACCTCGTCCCTAACGAACAACAGGAAAAAGCCGAGCCGAACGTTGCGGCGGAACCAGCGAATCCTCCCCGACGAGGCGACAACCCCAAGCGCGACAGGCGAGGCGAACCTGAAGAGCGACCCGAGCCGAGGCAAAGGATCAATATGATCATGGGTGGATCCCAGTACTATCAAGATACCGTTTCCTCAATCAAAGCCTATCAGCGCCGAGCCGAAGCAAAGGAGAATTGGACAGAGCCGACCGACATCCCAAACACGGTGATCTCTTTTGCCGAGGAGGAAACAGCAGGAATCGATCGACCTCACAACGATCCATTAGTAGTTGAGCTAACGATCAGGGATCATGACGTAGCAAGGGTGCTCATCGATACTGGAAGCTCGGTGAATGTCGTCTTCAGGGAAACGCTCAGAAGAATGGGAATCGACCTCTCCGAGGTGGAGGCAATCCCCAAACCTCTAACCGGATTTTCGGGAGAAACGACGATGACTATGGGAACGATCAGGCTTCCTGTGGTAGCTGGTCGTCGAGTTTTGCGTCACTGACCTCCCAGCCATCTATAACGTCATCATGGGAACCCCTTGGATCAACGGGATGAGGGCAGTACCTTCCACCTATCATCTTTGTCTCAAATTCCCAACTCCATCAGGTGTCAAAACGATATGGGGAAATCAGAAGGAATCAAGAAATTGCTTCCTAACCGAGCACAAGCTAAGGAACCCCATCACCGACGCACGAGCTGACATAGACCGCAAAAAGATGAAGACAGACAGAGAGCCCGCGAACGAGCTCTCCAAACTCTTGTAGCAATTACAGATCGTGGAGAACCGCGAAACACGCACCGAGCCGATATGTGACGCAGTGGACTCGGTGTGCATAGACGAGGCGCATCCGGAGCGGTGCGTCGAAATTGGAACACAACTAGGCGAACCCCTGAGAAGCAAGCTCCTTTCCCTCCTCAAGGAAAACATCGATACCTTTGCCTGGACGGCGGAAGACATGCCAGGCATCAGCGTCGATGTAACCTGTCACGAGCTTAATGTGGATCCGACCTTCAAACCAGTCAAGCAGAAAAGAAGAAAGCTTGGTCCAGAACGAGCTAAAGCAGTCAACGACGAAGTTGAGAGATTACTCAAGGTAGGATCAATCGCCGAGGCCAAATATCCGGACTGGCTCGCAAACCCGGTGGTTGTGAAGAAGAAGAACGGCAAGTGGCGAGTCTGTGTGGATTTCACCGACCTCAACAAGGCGTGCCCAAAAGACAGCTTTCCCCTGCCACATATCGACCGGCTCGTCGAGGCCACTGCGGGGAACAAACTGTTAACGTTTATGGATGCGTTCTCCGGCTATAATCAGATCCTGATGCATCCTGATGATCGGGAAAAAACGGCATTCATAACCGATCGCGGGATATATTGCTACAAAGTCATGCCGTTCGGGCTCAAAAACGCAGGAGCAACGTATCAACGGCTCGTCAACAAAATGTATGCAGCTCAGCTCGGGAAAACTATGGAGGTATACATCGACGACATGTTATTTTAGTCACTCGAGGAGGAAGACCACGTCGCGCACCTACAAGAATGTTTCGAACAGTTGAACAAGCACAACATGAAGCTAAATCCGGCGAAGTGCAGGTTCGCAGTCACCTCGGGAGAATTCCTCGGCTATCTGGTAACCCACCGAGGCATAGAAGCAAACCCCAAGCAGATTAAGGCGTTAGTTGAAATGCCCTCTCCAAGGACAAAGCGCGAAGTACAAAGGTTAACAGGAAGAGTCGCTGCGCTAAATCGATTTATCTCCCGTTCCACGGACAAATGCCTGCCTTTCTACGACACCCTCAGAGGAAACAAGAAATTTGAATGGGACGAACGATGTGAGACGGCTTTCCAAGAACTGAAGACTTATCTGGCGAACCCGCCAATCTTAGCAAAACCGGTCGAAGGAGAGCCGCTCTTCCTCTACATCGCGGTGTCTGCTACAGCTGTAAGTGGGGTATTAATCAGAGAAGAACGATCCAAGCAAAAACCCATTTTCTACATCAGCCAAACACTGACCGACGCCGAGACCCGCTACCCACAAATCGAGAAGGTCGCCCTAGCCGTCGTAGTCTCGGCTCGCAAGCTGCGCCCATACTTTCAGTCGCATTCGATTGTTGTGCTCGCCACCCTTCCGCTGCGCTCGATCCTGCACAGCCCAAGCCAATCGGGTCGGCTCGCCAAGTGGGCCATAGAGCTGAGCGAATACGACATCGAGTATCGGAATAGGTCGTCTGCAAAATCACAAGTGCTCGCTGATTTCCTCATTGAACTCCCGGCCGAAGCAACAAACGAGCCAACCCTAGACGAAGTATGGACATTGCACGTCGACGGCTCGTCATCTAAACGTGGCTCGGGAATAGGAATCCGCCTTACCTCTCCCACCGGAGAAATACTTGAGCAGTCTTTTCGCCTGAACTTCTACGCCTCGAACAACGAAGCGGAATACGAAGCACTGATCGCCGGCATACGGCTAGCACAAGGAATCGGAGTCCGAAAAATAAGAACCTTCTGCGACTCGCAGCTCGTAGCATGTCAGTTCAACGGAGAATACGAGGCGAAGGATGGACGTATGGGCGCTTACCTCAAAGTGGTCCGGGAGTTGGTGCAAAAGTTTGATGAGTTCGAACTCACTCGTATTCCCCGAGGAGAAAACATCTCGGCCGACGCCTTAGCAGCACTCGCTTCGACCTCGGACCCGGACCTCCGACAATGATCCCAGTCGAATTCATCGAACGCCCTAGCATCGAAGAAGTAGAAGGAGTTCGGCTGATAAATCCCCTTGAACAAGAACCAGAAGACGACGAAGCCATTCCGATGGAGGAAGACGCCTCGTCGGCCGAGCCGGAATACGGCTGCGACAAAGACTGGCTCGGGGCCATCCGAATGTACATCGCCAACGGAGAGGCGCCAACCGACAAATGGGAAGCCCGCAAGCTCAAAGCTCAGGCAGCACGTTATGTCCTCGTCGATGGCGAGGTGTTTAAATGGAGATTTGTGGGGCCTCTCATGTCATGCGTCGAAGGACCGGAAGCACGAAAGATCATGCACGAGGTGCGTAGCAGCGCGTGCGGTAACCACTCCAGCGGAAGGTCGCTCGCTATCAAGATAAAACGGCACGGCTACTTCTGGCCTACGATGGTCAAAGACTGCGAGAAATTCACGGCGAAATGCGAGAAGTGTCAGCGGCACGCTCCAACAATTCACCAACCTACCGAGCTGCTCTCGTCAATTTCGTCTCCTTATCCGTTCATGAGATGGTCGATGGACATAGTCGGACCTCTACATCGCTCGAAACATAAGCGTTTTCTGCTCGTCCTCACGGATTACTTTTCCAAGTGGGTCGAGGCCGATTCTTACGCAAGTATAAAAGATGTTCAGGTTGAACACTTCGTCTGGAAAAATATAATCTGCCGACACGGGGTCCCTTACGAGATCGTCACCGACAACGGATCCCAGTTTATTTCAACACGCTTCGAAGCTTTCTGCGAGAAGTGGAAAATCCGCCTCAGCAAATCCACGCCAAGATACCCTCAAGGGAATGGACAAGCCGAAGCAGCCAACAAGACGATCCACGATGGTCTGAAAAAGAGGCTCGACGAGAAGAAAGGACGGTGGGCAGACGAACTCGAAGGAGTCCTTTGGTCTCATCGGACAACTCCGCGCCGAGCCACTGGGGAAACTCCATTCGCTCTGGTCTACGGATCGGAGTGCGTAATTCCCCCCAAGGTGGACTTCCCAGGTATTCGACGAAGACTTCTACCAGGACAAGAAGGCTTAAACCACTTAATGATGCTAGATGAGCTCGACCTAATCAACGAAAAGCGCGACCAAGCCCTAGTTCGAATTCAGAACTACCAACAAGCAACAGCGCGATACTACAACAAAAACGTTCGTAGCCGAAGATTCAAAGAGGGAGAGCTCGTCCTCCGAAAGGTCTTCCAAAATACTGCCGAGAAGAACGCAGGAAAGCTCGGAGCAAATTGGGAAGGTCCTTACAAGATCACCAAAGTGGTTCGTCCGGGAGTCTACGAACTCGCGACGCTAGGCGACGAGGCGATTCCAAGATCATGGAACGCAATGCATCTGAAGAAATACTATCACTAAGGATACAGCACGACCATCATGAACTACGGGACGGCTTGATCCCTGCAAAGGGTACGTAGGCAGCCCGTCTTCGGACGGGTTCAGCTGTCCCCCCTCCTAAAAAGGGGGGGGGAGTGGGTACGTATACACATACCTCCTCTAAACTCTATTATTTTGACTTACCCATTTAGGAACGTCGCCACTTCGGCATATTTCTCACTTCATTTTTAATCATCTACTTATTTCACTTGATTTCTAGTTAAACTATTATCGCTTCGGCTAGCTTCACATTGTAACAAGTTCGGCAAACTAAGCCTCTGAACGCCTAGCCTCGTTGCTGGCCACAACGGGGCAACAAGTACAAAGTTCTCTAAACAGACTTTTACCACCTTTCCTAGGACGAGGGTGCAAGTTACATCCTCTACGGATAAAAATTAAGCGCGCTATACAAATATCAGACCAAAAACGTATCTGGTCGCCACAGTTTACTATCGCACACGAGAATATAAGTCGAGACTACATCGCTTTCTCTAAAAACCGAAGTAAACTCCTAAACCCGGATAAACATACTCGAGAACACCGGTCCTTAGACAGGTTCGATAACACTTCAACCTCGGCTAACAAAAGCAAAACGCCTCGTCGTTTTTACGGCTCGGTATCACTCAAAGCGAAACGCCTCGTCGTTTTTACAGCTCGGTATCACTCGAAGCGAAAAGCCTTGTCGTTTTTACGGCTCGGTATCACTCGAAGCAAAACGCCTCGTCGTTTTTACGGCTCGGTATCACTCGAAGCAAAACGCCTCGTCGTTTTCACGGCTCGGCATCACTCGAAGCAAAATGCCTCGCCGTTTTCACAATTTGACACCATTCGAAACAGAAACGCCTCGTCGTTTACACGGCTCGACAATATTCAAGGCAAAAACGCCTCGCCGTAAGCACGGCTCAGCATTACCAACAAAAACTTGCCTTGAACATTATCGCGTAACACTCTTTTACTATCAAAATTTGCCTTGAACCTAAACGAGGTCCTTAAAACAATTCATCCCTTAGCCCGTGTTCCGGTCAATTTCGGAAATACAGTTAACGCAAAAATCGACATAACAGCCCTCGTCCTCGACAAGTTTACGTAAACACTTCTACGAATTAATGGACAAGTAAATCCAAAAAACGGCTAAGGAAAATATATCCATTAAGCAAAAATAAAGAGTCGGGTGGATAAAGCCATCCAGGCACAAAACACATAAAAGTTCAACAAGGAGCGGGTAAAAATCTAAGTACAAAAACAAGCAAGAAAAATTTGTGAGCCAAAACTCATGCCGCGGATTGCGTCTCACGATCGGCGAGAAGGTTCGAGGAAATCGGCGTGCCCGCATTCGAGCCGTTCGGGTCGACAACGCCTAAATTGGCCGCTGTTTCTTCGATCGGCTCGTTACCGAGGG